GTCCGCGGCGGCTCTGTCCTCCCTCCTCCTCTTCCTCTTCCTCTTCCTTGCATGAATTCTACAGGCTTACGCCACATCCGCCGACCCGTTCTGCGACTGTTGCGAGGCCAGGAGTTTCTTTCCAGCGGCGTCTTGTGTGAGGGTGCGGTGTCGCGCGCGGGTGGTGGCAGATACGTAGGGCGTCCAAATGTTTGCGTGATGCCGGTGGTCTGGGGCGTGTTTTGCAAGCGCCTTGCGTGCTGTGTACCCGGGTGCGGGGTGTCCTTCTGGGAGGTCGGCCTTTCGACCCGCAACCAAGTGGAGGACCACCGGAAGACGAAAGGAGCAAGAGTAGCGTGCGGAAATTGTGATCAGCGAAGCATCACCGCGAAAGATGTGGCAGATGAGTCGAAACGGGTGAAGAGGCTGTTGACGTTCGCAGCGCGCACGAAACAGTTCGCGTGGCAGCAGCACGTTAGCGCCGAGCAAGATTGTGCACGTCGCGAGGAAGAGCAAGGCTGCATGCGCGGAGTGCATTGCAGTTGGCTTGGCGGCTCGCAATGCGGAAGCGTCTGGGGGTCTTTTGGAGGCCTCCTGGGGGCCTCTTGGGGGCTCCTTGGGGCGTCTTGGCGGCCTCTTGGGGGCCTCTGGCGGCCTCTTGGGGCACTCTTGGGGCCCCCTGGGGCTCGTGGGGGCGGAAAGCTAGATTTTTGAATTTTTGGTTGCCCTCTTGGGCCCCTCTTGGTGCCGTCTTGGAGCCTTCTCGGGCCGTCTTGGGGACCTCCTGGGCCGTCTTGGGGCCATCTTGGGCCGTCGTGGGGCCGTCTTGGGGGCCTTTTGGGCCGTCTTGGGGCGGTCTTCGGGGCCTCTTGGGCCGCCTTGGAGCGTCGGAAAACCCACGAGGCGAATTTGTGAAAACTATACGTTGTACGAAGGACATGAACATTTTTTTGCGTCTAGGGACCCTGTTGGGACGCATCTTGGAGGCCCTTTGCCGGCGTCTTGGGCCAGCTGGAGGCCATCTCGGGTGTCTTCGATCGCTCTCGGACCGTGTGGGACCATGTTGAGCTTTCTTGGAAGCCACTTGGAGCGCTCCTGGAGCGCTCTTGGGGCCGTCTTCGGGGCTCTCTTGGGCCGTCTTCGGCGCCTCTTGAGCCGTCTTGGCGCCCTCTTGGGCTGTCTTGGGGCCCTCTTGGAGGCTTCTTGGACCGTCTTGGTGCCGTCTTGGGGGGCTCGTGGGCCGTCTGGGAGCGTCGGAAAACCCCAAAGGCGAATTTGTGAAAAGCACACGTTTACAAAGGGAACGGGCCAATTTATTGCGTCTAGAGGCCCTCTTGGGGCGCATCTTGGATGCCTCTTGGGGCCTCTTGGGGGCATCTTGGGCCGTCTGGAGGCCGTCTTCGGTGTCTTTGATCGCTCTTGGACCGTCTGGGACCATATTGAGCTCTCTCGGAGGCCACTCGGAGCGCTCCTGGAGCGCTCTTGGGGCCGTTTTCGGGGCCCTCTTGGGCCGTCTTGGACGCCTGTTGGCCCGTATTGGGGCCCTCTTGGGCTATTTTGGGACCCTCTTGGGGGCTTTTTGGGCCGTGTTGGGGCGGTCTTGGGGGCCTCTTGGGCCGTCTGGGAGCATCGGAAAACCCAGAAGGCGAACTTGTGAAACATGTACGTTTAACGGAAGGAATGGGCAAATTTTTGCGTCTAGGGGCCCTCTTAGGACGCATCTTGGAGGCCTCTTGGGGCCTCTCGGGGACCTCTTGTGCCGTCTAGGAGGCCTTGTAGCCCGTCTTTGGGCCACCTTGGGCGTCTTGGAGCGCTCGTTTGGCGTCCGGGGGCCATTTCGAGGCCACCGGAGGAGTCCTTGCAGGATTTTCGGGGGCGGATGACCCCCCCGGGGGGAATCGGGGAATTTGGCCGGACCCCCCCCGGGGGAATCGGGGAATTTGGCCGGACCCCCCCCCTTCAAATCGACCGGACCGGGCTCCCGGGGAAGGGGTTTGGGGAGGGGGAAGATCTCACACGCCGATGAATCCCCAAGGGGTCGGCGGATTCTACAGCATTCTATGCTCTGCCGGTGCGCCGTCAGGGCGCGGCTCTTGCGTGCGTGCGCGCGGGCATTTTCGCCTGGTTTCGGGCCCCGGGGCCCTCACAGATCGATCTGGCTCAAAAAATGACGCAGAAAGATCGGGTCTGTAGGGCTCCGGTCGTGATGTTTCACGATGTTGCATTTTTTCCCCAACGTCGGATCTAGGGGGAGGCCAGCGGCTCGGCGGGGCTCCTCGGTCGGAGGCTCGTCGGTCTGCGTGTCCTGGGTGGCGTGGGCCGCAGGTGTCAGTGAGCCTCAACAGACGAGGACGCTGGTCGGCGGGCAGCTGGAGGGAGCTGGCCCGTGCTCAGCAGGCGGAGGGCGTCGGTCGGCGGCTGGAGGGAGCTGGGCCCTGCAGTGCCCCAGGGCGTCGCGCATCAGGTGGTCGGGGAGCACGTCCTGGTGGTACGGCCTGACGTCGCCGCGTGCCCGCAGGTCAGCTGTGTCATGAGGTGGGGGCCACCACTCCCCTGTCCACTGCGTGTGCAGTGGGCGCCTCAAGTCAGAACTCGGCTGGCCGACTGGCCGACTCCCCGACGGGCCGACTCCCTGACTCCCCGCTCTCCGACTGGCCGACTGGCCGACTCCCCGACTGGCCAGAAGGTGCCCCACCGGAATCTCTTGGCCCCGAGGGCCCACAGTCTGGGGCACCTGCGGACCCTCAGAGATGGAAAAAGAACGCGTCCTGATGTTTCGTTTTGCAAGAGATCTCTTGTCGTATGTCTGCCCAGGGCATGGTAGGGGCAGTCAGGCTCAGGGGGGAACGCATCGATCCCCAATCTTCCATTCATCACCGACATGGACCCGACAGCCCACCCCGCCCAGGGCTCGTGCGGAGTCGCTGTCGGGGGGCCCATCGCCGACGTGTCGGCGAAGCATTCCGGGTCGATGCCTTTCCCCCCGACTCGGTTCCATCATCCGCTGCATGGAGGGGCCCCCACCCTCCTCCTCCTCCTCCTCCTCCTCCTCCTCCTCTCCCTCCTCTCTCCTCCTACCTTCCCCCTCTCCCCCTCCTCCCCATCCATCTCCGCCTCCTCTTTTCCACCCCCTTTCCGCCTCCACCTACCAACCCCACCACCCTACACACTCTCCTCCTCTCTCCTCGTCCTCCTCCTCTCCTCTCTCCTACTCCCCCATGTCACCTCCTCTTTTTTTTTTATTTTTCTTTTTTTTTTTTTCTTTCCCCCCCTCCCCCTCCCCCTTTATCCTCCTCCTCCTCCTCCTCATTGGGTCGCCCCCTTGCGTTTTTCGCGCTCGGGCTCTCCACCCTGGAGTACTTCTCGTCTTGGGGACAGCCTCGACAGGGGCCATGGGCCATGGACGCCCTCGGCGAGCGGGCTCGTGCTCCTGGCCAACGTCCTGGTGGGCACGTCTCGACCTTGTCCTCCCAGATCTCGACGTTGAAGGAAAAATAATAGTAACACTACGAATAATCATAAGTATAATGGTGCTAGTAATAAGGAGAAAGATATTGATCAGAAGACGCGCTACGCACACTATAATCTTTCGGAGATCGGCGCGGATTCCTTGGATCGGCGCTGGACCCCCCCCGCGCCGAACGGGCTCATGCTCTTTGCTCACGTCCTGGTGGGCGTGTCTCGACTGCACCCTCCAAGATCTCGAAGAAGAACGACGACATACATTATTAGCTTTCGGAGGTCGGCGCAGATCCCCAGCATCGGTGCTGGAAACTGGCGCGCGCAGCGTGCTGGGTGCTGCGCCAGAGGCGCCGCCAGTGGGTCCAGCGCCGATCGAAGACATCCGCGTGGACTTTCGAAAGTTCATGCTGACATTTTGTTTCTCCAAGGCTTCGCTGACGCTGACGACGACGACCCTGACGACGGCATTGGCGACAACGACGACCTTGACGACGCTGACGACGACGACGACGGATCAGGAGGTTCAGGTTCAGGTTTAGGCGTTAGGAGGACGAGCCGATCAACTGCTGCAAGGAGGAGGAGGAGGAGGAGGAGGGCGACGACGACGATGAGCTGGCCACGACGACGACGGCGGCGCCGTTGATGACGACGACGACGACGACGACGACGACGACGACGACGACGACGACGACGACGACCGCCTGGAGCTCGCATCAGGGGCAAATTTAGCGGGTGATTGGCTCAGGAGGGAATGAATCGACACCCAATCGACCATTCATCGGCGACATGGGTCAGATAGCCCCAACATGTCCAGGAGCGTACGGACTCGCTATCGAGGGCCTGCCGCCGATCTACCGGTGATGTACCGCCGACTCCAGGTGGATGTTTCCACCCCTGAGCCAGTCCCCCCCTACAGTGCCGTTTTTAATACATGCTCCGCGTGCGGATCATGTGTTACAATTGCATACATTTATGCATACATTAATCATGCATTCAAAATCCTATTAAAAAAATCCAATGTCTTAAAAACTGCCCTGGAACATTCCCCCTCACGACGACGCTGAGAAGACCACGACCACGACGGCGGTGCCGGTCGCGACGACGACGACGACGACGGCAGCAGCGCTGGCGACGACGACGACCCCAGAGATCCGATGTTTTGATTCGTTCAGAGCGGGGTCTCCCGACGTCTCGACCCGTTCCCCATGGACGGTTTCTTATCCCGAGCCCGTTTTGAACAGTGGTGGGGCCCGGCGGGGGCCCGCCCGAGGCTGAACACGGCGACAAGCCCTTGGAGGATGAGGAGGAGGAGGAGGAGGAGGAGGAGGAGGAGGAGGAGGAGGAGGAGAGGGAAGAATGAGGAGGGGGAGGAGGAGGATGGATGAGATGATGATGAGGAGAGCAGGAGGGGAGGAGGAGGAGGAGGCAGGAGGAGGAGGAGGAGGAGGAGGAGGAGCCTCACGTTGATGCGCCCCCCTCACGCTGGACACGTCACTCTTGGAGCGTCGTGTTCTCGCAGTGCGCGGGATGCGTCCCCCCCGCCGGCGCGGGGCGCGCAGGACGTCGCCGACTTCCAGCCCCGCGAGCCCCTCGAGCCCCGGAGCCTGCTCGGCGGGCCCGCGAGCCGGGCGTCGCTGGGCGCGCCGAGCGAGCCAGGCGGGGGGGGGGGTCGGGGGGGGGCTCGGGAGGGGTATTCGGGCAGTGGCGAAGTGTCCAGGCTTGCCTCCAGGCCCACCAAGGCATCTTCCAAGAGCCTCCTGTGGCCTGCACGAGACGTTCTCAGAACATTCCTGGCTGAGACAGGTCTTGTTTGAACACATCGGGCTCATGTTCTAAGAGCAGGATTTGGGTTCTTAGACTTTTTTGGGTTATTAGAAGAAATCGTGGTAGGTTATAGGAATGCCGGGACGGTCGGTCCCTGAGAAAGGTTGTAAAATTCTGGGGCCCAGGGAGGCATTCATAAAGATACACATGTTCCAGGACTCCCAATACAGTCGGGGCCCTGAAGAAGGAACCCTTTTCGTTGGGGAGGGGCTCCGCGTTCCTTAAGTGTTTCACAGCTTGCCTCAGGCTTTCCTTATGTTTTCGATCGGAAATCGAAGTTCAACTTATGGACAAAAGGGGCCTCGTTCCTTATTCAGGGTTCCTTAGGTCAAGGCCCCGACTGTATGTGTGTCAATCTTTTTTTCTGGATCTTCGTCTTCCCCTCCACTTACTGTAGTTGCCAATCTTGTGCTCGGAATCGGCATTTATTTGTGTCTGTATGTTATCATCATGAGGGTCGGAGGGGGAAGGGCCCTGACATCCTCGCGTCTTGAAACAAATATCCTGGCGAAGGACCCAACCATGTGCAAATGTGAGGACCGCAGGGCAGGTGGAACGAAGCAAGGGGAATTCCACTGCGGCCACGAACCGTGTGAGGGATGCGCCAAAATGGGGCGGGGCCGCCATGCGAACCCTGCCACTGGGGCCTTCGGTGGAGCTCTCTTTGGGGCCACGAACCGTGTGAGGGGTGCGCCAAAATGGGGCGGGGCCGCCATGCGAACCTTGCCACTGGGACCTTAGTTGGAGCTCCCTATGGGGCCGCGAAACGCGTGAGGGGTGCGCCAGGATGGGGCGGGGATGCCATGCGGGCTGCGCCACCGGGACCTTCGTTGGAGCTCCCTATGGGGCCACGAAACGTGTGAGGGGTGTGCCAGAATGGGGCGGGGATGCCATGCGGGCTGCGCCACTGGGACCCTAGTTGGAGCTCCCTATGGGGCTACGAAGCGTGTGAGGGGTGTGCCGAAACAGAGACATGCGGAGGGCAGAGGCAAGGAGGAAGAGGAGGAGGAGGAGGAGGAGGAGGAGGAGAGGAGGAAGGAGACGCGCGGCACCGTCTGTTCATAACAAGGACCCAACACCACAGGATGGCTGGGAATTGCGACCGCATGTTATTCAGGCTCCCGGGGCCTTCTCACCCGCCTTGTGGACTGTCAAAAAAGACTCGGGATGAAAAACCGGTCCAGGGCAAGGGTTCGGCGTTTTCCTCGATTTCGGCCTCCGGGGCCTGTTATCGAAATTAACCGAGGGAACAGGGGCGGGACGTCTTGGGGCCGCGGGTGGAAAACATCATATCGGCGGATGTTAGAAGGGAGATGGAGTAGGTGGAGGAGGGGGAGGAGGAGGGAGGAGGTTGATTGTAGTTTAGCGCTGATGCCCTGAAGGGTAGGCGTAACCCTTTATGTGTCGGGCGGGGCACTTCGGCTCTCCCACCCTTGTAATCGGTGCTGGTGAAGGTTGGGAAGCCTCACTTTATCGGAGACGCCTACGGCGAGTCACCGCCGCCCCCTGCCTTCTTGGAATCGCCTGCGTGGCCGAAAGTTGGGTTTGAGCTTGGCCAAGCTATCGGGCCACGCGTTCCCCGAGTGGGTTTCGCAAGCGTTCGGGGAACACGGAGTCGGGCGAGCTATCGGACCAGGTGGTTTCCGAGCTTTCGGGTTTCCTGGAGGACGTCCTGGAGGGCTCTTGGGCCGTCTTGGAGGCCTCTGGCGGGCCTTTTGGGCAGTCTAAGGCTATCTTCAGGCCATTTGGGGCCGTCTTGGGTGCATCTTGGGGTCATCGTCGCCGTCTTGGAGGCCTTCTTGGCCGTCTTGGAGGCATCTGGGAGGCCATCTAGTCCGTCTTGGATGCCATCTTGGGCGTCTTGGGGGCCTTCTGGGCCGTCTTGGGGTCTTGTGGGGGCCCTGTCGGGGGTCTTTTGGGCTGTCATGAGGCCATCTTGGAGGCCTCTTGTGCGCTCTTGGGGCAATGTTGGAGGCCTCTTGGGCCGTCTTCGGCCGTCGGAGAGCTGAAAAGACGAAAATGCCCAAATCCTTCAAAAACCGAAGGACATCAATGAATTTCGTCCTTTCTGGTCTTCCTGGTGGAGCTCTTGGAGGGCTCTTGGGGCTCTCTTGGGCAGTCTTAGGGCAATTTCGGAGCCATCTTGGGCCGTCTTGGAGGCTTCTTGGACGAACTTGAAGGCATCTTGGACTCTCTTGGGCCGTCTCTGGGACATCTTGAACCATCTTGGGCGGACTTGAAGAGGCCATCTTGGGCCATCTTGACCATCTTGGAGGCCATTTTGGAGCCGCCCGGAGCCGAAAAACCCTGTTACGCATTTCAGGCGGGACGGGCCGAACCCCCAGGAGGAGTTCTTGTGGAAAAGAACGAAAACCAGAAGCGAAAGGGCCTAGCTTCTTGGGCCGTCTTGGGACCACCGTGGGCCATCTTGGAATGCCTTTGGCCTGAGTCCGTGGGGCGTGCCACCCTTGGGCGCCTCGTGGGGGCGCTCGGGAGGCCCCCGAGGCCGCGCCCGGGAGTTCCGGCATCTCCGGCCCGACCTCGCCGGGATCTCCTGGCGGGACCTTGCCGGGACCTTTCGGGTCGGGCGGAAAGGGGGGGATTTGGGAAAGGGGGGGGTACGAAATTTGCTGCATGCAGCTGAGTTCGGCCTCACCGAGGGGCCCCTTCCTCGATGCATAGCCGCCTCCGGCGCCGGGAGGCGCCGGGAAAATTAGCTACGTGAGCTGATTCTCACCCCCCCCCCCTTGGCTATCCCCCCCTTTCGCCCGACCCGAACCTTGCCGGGACTTTGCCGGGGTATTCTTCGTCCAGGGATGTTTTTTTGGTGGAGGGGTCGCCTGCCAGCCGGTTGGCCGCTCCAGGGGTGCGCGTGCCGCCCGCGGCGAAGATCGACGAGGAAAGCTGCGATTGCGCTTGGGCGGCGTTCTCTGAAATGCCGCTTCTCACCACTCACCAAACCACTCCAACCCAACCCGAAGGCTCCAAATTGCCCTCCATTTCCAGTGGGGGGGGCGTCGGGGAACTTAAAAACACACATATGAAGCCCGAAATTCGGGTCTTCGGATTGGGTTGGGGTGGTCTGGTAGTTAGGTAGTCAGGTTCGGCGGAGATGGGCACTGGAGTCAGTGTGTAACCGATCCCCATCCCCATCCGCATCCCCATCCCGATCCCCACCATCCCACCACCCCAGTGGGGGATGTGCCCCTCGAAACTCGAAGGGAACAGCCGACATCCCAGTGTAGGGGGGTAAATCGCCCAGTGGGGCCCAGGCCACGCCCGTGGGGATATCGGCGGAGGGCAACGTGAGACAACGGCCGTGAGACAACGGTGGCCAAATCGGCTCAAAATCGGTCCCTGGACCCCTCCCGGGGTCCAAACGCACCGATTTTTCACGCTGCGTTCAGCCGTGGCGACGAGGAGGCCCCTCGGAGGCGAAAAAGGCAAAAACGTCACCCTTGTCTCACCCTGCCCTCCTCTGAGGATAGGGATCGGTTTAACGATGCTCATGGGAGGTCGATTCCACAGCCAGGTTTGCCGACCTCTGTCGCCCTCTCCCTCCAGGCGTGCCGCCACCTGTGTCGCCCTCGCCCTCCCGGCCCCCCGCCCCAGGCAGCACCGCCGGACACAGCGTCGCGCGCTCCAACTCGACGTGGGCGGCGCAGCCACGCCCGCCTTCTGAGGCCCCGGCGCTGCGCCAGAGGAGGAGGAGGAGGAGGAGGAGGAGGAGGAGGAGGAGGAGGAGGAGGAGGAGGAGGAGGAGGAGGAGGAGGAGGAGGAGGAGGAAGAGGAGGAGGAGGAGGAGGAGGAGGGGGAGGGGGAGGAGGAGGAGGAGAGGATGAGGAGGAGGAGGGAGGAGGAGGAGGAGGAGGAGGAGGAGGAGGAGGAGGAGGAGGAGGAGGAGGAGGAGGAGGAGGAGGAGGAGGAGGAGGAGGAGGAGGAGCGGGAGGAGGAGGAGGAGGAGGAGGACGAGGAGGAGGAGGAGGACGAGGACCAGTGTAAACCGAAGACCCTCAATAATGTCGAAATACACCCTCCCTCCAAGATCCCTCTTCATAGGCCCCTTACAGGGGGCCATTTCCACTGAGGGAATTGTCCCCTTGGGGGGCAACCGTGTATACATTTTGAAGCGTGCCAAAACACCATGCTCAGGACTTCAACGCCACGAGTTAACCTGAATGTTACGTCTCGGCGATCCTGAATCGTGTCACAACACCGTTCCTGCCTGGTATTTCAACACCGCGAATCAACGTGACTGTTGTGCCCTGACAATACTGCATCATTCCAAAACATCATTTCTGGTATGCTACCCATGAGAAGCAGCGAAATTCTTCTTTATAATCAAGCGAATGTACGCGGCGCTAAGTCGAGAACCACACTTTGAAAAGGAGCCGCTTTCAATCCGAGAAGCTCGTGCAATTTTTTTGAATCGAGTGTGCGCGGCGTTAAGGGAGAATCGCAATTTGAAGATCACCCGCCCTCGATCCGTGAAGCTCCTGGAATGTGCGCGGTGATTTGGCGAGAGACACATTTTGACAACGGCCCGGCCTCCACCCGTGAAGCTGTTGCAAACTTCAACGCATGTGCGTGGTGCTGCGGCGAGAGCCACATTTTGAAAACTACGCGCCCTCCATCCGTGAAGTTCTGGCAAATGTCCAAACCTTCCCTCCAAGTTCAATCTTCAAATATCTTCACAGGGATTGTTTTTTTCCCACTGAGGGGAGTGCCGCGCCGCTGGAAAACAGCCATCTGAAAATCTTACTCCGTGCCAGCGCAACGCGTCATTCCTCGGACTTCAACGCCGCGAATCAATCAACATGGCTGTTGTGTCCTGGCAGAATCGTGTGAGAACGCGACTTCGGCACCGCGAATCAACGTGACTGCTGCGCCCTGATAGTCCTACATCGTGCCAACACACCACGGCGGGGACGCCAGCCACAAGAGTCCTTGAAACTCTTTTGTAGACTCTTATGACGACTGTGCGTGGCGCCAGCGCGACAGCCATATGTTGAGAAGGAATCGCCCTCCACCCGTGAAGCTCCTTCAAACGTCTGCGGCGAGTGTGCGCGCTGCCCAGACGAGAGACACGTCTTGACCACGGCCCGCCCTCCGCCCGTGGAGCCGTGGCAAACGTCAAGGACGAGTGTGCGCGGTGCTGCGGCGAGAGCAACGGTTTGAACACGCCCCGCCCTCCATCCGTGAAGCTCCTGCAGAGTGAAGACGAATGCACGCGGCGCTAAGGCGAGACCCGCATCACGGTTTGAGAAGGGCTCGCCCTCCATCAGTGAACCTGTTGCATATGTTTAGTTTTAGAGATCTCGCACGGCGAGGAAGGCCCAGGCGACACGCCGGGCCCGCCCTACCGACACGTCTCGGGGTGCGACGGGAAGGAGCTGCTTATAAGGAGAAGGGATGGAGGAGGAGGAGGAGGAGGAGGAGGAGGAGGAGGAGGAGGAGGAGGAGGAGGAGGAGGAGGAGGAGGAGGAGCAGGAGCAGGAGCAGGAGCAGGAGCAGGAGCAGGAGCAGAAGTCGAGGAGTCGAGGGGTGAAGGCAGCTGCTGCCGCTGCGCTCCGTGGGGCGAGCCCCAGCTCTGGTGTGTGGATGGCCGGCTTCGCCCAGCACGTCGATGACGCCTTTTACTGGGGATGAGGGGGGGGGAGGAGGAGCGCGGGAGGGGGAGGGGGAGGATGATGATGAGGATGAGGAGGGAGGGTCCTCCTGCCTCCCTCCCTCCTTGCCCCTCCCCCGCTCCCTCACTCTCACCTCCTCCATCCGTGTACCTCGTCTCTTCTGCTCCCTTCCCCTCTCGCCCGCCATAGGCCCCGGATCGTTCCACGAGCACCGCGGTGACGCGGATCTCCTCCCTGAGAGACCCCGTTGGAGAGCCTCTGCCTGGCCACAAGAGCCTACGTGTTTAGTCGCCGGGGGTGCGAATGCCGCAAGGAGGCCACTCGCACAGTTGTTACCTGACAGCTCTTGCTGATAGGTTTCTAGTGGTCTCAAAAGAGAGCATCATGACTCCTCAGGGGGGTCTGGGCGTGACCCGGAACGGCTGCCGCCGCGGCTGCCGCCGAAGCCGAAATCGCTTGGGACATCCTCGCAAAATCGCTCTTGGTGCTCCCAGAACTCCATTCCCGGGCCACATTTTGGATGCCCGGAGCCAACTGTAGGCCACTTCGTGCTCTTCGACTTCCCAGAACTCCATTCCCGGGCCACATTTTGGATGCCCGGAGCCAACTGTAGGCCACTTCGTGCTCTTCGATTTCCCAGAACTCCATTCCCGGGCCACATTTTGGATGCCCGGAGCCAACTGTAGGCCACTTCGTGCTCTTCAAGTTCCCAGAACTCCATTCCTGGGCATGATTTTGAATGCCCGGAGCCAACTGTAGGCCACTTCGTGTTCTTCTAGTTCCCAGAACTCCATTCCTGGGCCACATTTTGAATGCTGAGGCAGGTTGATGCTGCGGCCGAGGCAGGCTGAGGCTGAGGCAGGCTGAGGCTGAGGCCGAGGCTGAAGGCAGACTGAGGCTGAGGCTGAAGCAGACTGAGGCTGAGGCTGAGGCAGGCTGAGGCTGAGGCTGAAGCAGGCTGATGCTGAGGCAGGCTGAGGCTGAGGCTGAGGCTGATGCAGGCTGAGGCTGAGGCAGGCTGAGGCTGAGGCCGAGGCTGAAGGCAGACTGAGGCTGAGGCTGAAGCAGGCTGAGGCTGAGGCTGAGGCAGGCTGAGGCTGAGGCAGGCTGAGGCTGAGGCTGAGGCAGGCTGAGGCTGAGGCTGTGACTGCGACTGCCGTTGCCGCTGCGACTGTCATCGCGAATGCGACTACGACTGCGAGAACAGCAGAATTCTACAGCTGGATTTTCATCTGAATCTTAAGGGGAATGCTTTCAGATATGCTTCTACACATCGCTGTTAGGTTGCTTTGCCGGGATAATTTTTGTCTGGGCAGCATTGGTGGGCTGGCGCGACGAATCTTTTCGCAGATTTCTTGGCTTTCTGCTTTCGGTCACGAGGTTCAGCCTCTTGGGGGCCTCTTGGGGCCTCCTGGGCACCTCTTTGAGCCGTCTTGGGGCACCCTTGGGAGCTTCGGGGGCCATTTTAGGGCCATTTCGCAGGAGATCGATCAAAGGAGGGGGAATCCTGAATTAGAGTTGCCCCCCAGAAGGCCAACATGTGGCCGCCAACATCTTGATTCAATCAATGATTTTGGAAATTCTCGCCGAGGCCGTTTGGGACACTCCAGCCCCTCGCGAAACTCGCCCTCCAGGTCCAGGGGGATGGGGGTAGGGGGATGGGTCAAGTTACCCCCTCCCCGCCCGCAAGCCGCCTCGCTCACTCCCACCCGCCCTCCCAACACATACGTTGCACCCGAGTCTGGCCCGAGCCTGAGCATATTCAGCAGTCGTCTTGGGATGGACAGCTACTGGGGCCCAATCTGGCGCCGCCGCCGCCGCCGCCGCCTCCGCCGCCGCCGCCGCCGCCACCCCCCACTGCCAAACCGCCGCCGCAGCCGCAGCCACTGCCGCCACCGCTACCGCCGCCGCCGCCGCCGCCGCCGCCGCCGCCGCCTCCGCCGCCTCCGCCGCCGCCGCCGCAGCAATCGCAGCCGCCGCCGCCGTCGCCGCCGCTCCCCGCTGCCAAACCGCCGTCGCCGCCGCAGCCGCTGCCGCGCCGCTGCCGCCACCGCCGCCGCCGCCGCCGCCGCCGCGCCGCCGCCGCCGCCGCCCCGCCGCCGCCGCCGCCGCAGCCGCCGCAGCCGCCGCCGCCGCCGCAGCCGCCGCAGCCGCCGCCGCCGCCGCCGCCAAGTGTACTCTGTATTGGTTTTTGACAGGGATGGTGGTGGGGGCGCATCGGGTTGGCTGCGCATGTTCCGAATTTGGAGGCAGAGTGTGTTTTGTATTGTTTTTTATAAGGGATGGTGTGGGGGGGGGTGTCGGCATGGACCCTGGTTGGCCCTTAGTCGCCTGGGGGAGGGGGTGCTTATTAATAGGGAACAGTGGTTCAGGCACCCGCCCCGCCTGCAAGCCCTCTTACTTACTTCCACCCGCCCTCCCAACACATTGGTAGCACCCGAGCTGCAGCATGTTCAGCGGTCGTCTTTGGATGGACAGCTAATGGGGACCAAAACAGATCCTATGTACTACGCAACGCTGGGGCGAGGTGCGTCACGCGTGCCAGGCGCGCCCCGCGCGCCAGGTGCGCCCCGCGCGCCAGGTGCGCCAGGCACCCTTGTGGCCCAAGCGTGCCGTGCACGCCTGGTGCGCCAGATGCGCTACGTGATCCACGTGCGCCATGTGTGCCGCATGTCCCAGCCGCGCCAGGTGCTCCACGTTCGGGTCACGCGCAGGGTGTTCCAGGAGCGCCTGCGCACGTTGCAGTACACATCGGGAAACGTGTCGGCCCCCCACCACCCTTGTCGAAAACGAGTGCGCAATCGCGGCGGTGTGGCCATCACAGTGCCTGGTGGGCCTGCACACAGCAGGCAATATGCCAGCACCATCGTTTTCCCAGTCACAAATCGATGCACAGTGATCGCGGGGTGCCCGCGCATGATCCAGATTTTGCCTCGAAGTGCATTTAGCATTGTTGTTACATTGTTTTTTGACAGGGATATGGGGGGGTGTCCTCATTGGTCCCCTCTGAAGAAGAAGGATAGTGTTGGAAGAGGACACGCTCTAAACCGCCCAC